TTTCTCACAAAGTAGACAAACGCGCATAAAACGTTGTGTGTCTTATATTACTGAAGCGATTTTATGTGTGCATGTCTTCGTAAATTTCTAAAAGCTATATTCAACATTCAACATAGTTGGAGCCGCATCAATGAATCGTTTGTTGAGTTTTATTAGTTAAAGTAAATTGTCTCCTGACGTCTATGACACACTTCTTGGATGTTCCAGTAACTGCGACTTTCACACACACATACACACAGAGTGTAACGTCCGGGGGCAAAGGGCATGAGCGGAGTCATTATTTGCGTTTATTGCACTTGTAAATCTAATTGTTTACTACACAGGAAATCCAGTCAAGCGCTCTGTACTTCATCTGTACCTCACATTACGGCATCAGTTAAACTATTTGAGAATGTAGATTTCATTGAATTCCTACTACTTGGCCGAGCTAGCAAATATTTGATCAAAATAATAAAATGTTTTCATTCAACGTGAATGCCCCTGGGCATCGAACAGACCCGTTAACTTCCATGTTCTGCTCGGTATTAAAATAGTTGAAATTACAAGGCAATTGCTTGAAATGTATATGTTAATAAAGAGAAAGAAATGTCGCATGCTCACGTTAAAGTGCCTTAACATTTTCCATTTGTCAAACATTTAATGTATGTAATTGTTCCAATGGTTTGAAATGAGGTTGAATTTTGTTCAATTCAATTCCAAATACCTGTTGGTGTGAATATACTTCTTTTAAAAGAGGAGTTTTTAGCCCACTCAAATGGTGTTGATTTTGTCTTGCAGACACACAACTCCAGTGGGGCCATACCTGGAGTAACGCGGCACTTTCATCAACAAAACACGCATCATCAACACGGTCAACAGTTACCTGCAGGTGCTCAACACCAGTTCGCAGCAGCCGGTGGAGCACCGATTAAAGGGTGCGCCTTAGGTCAGTACCGAACACGATAAGCAGCCATTATTAGGAATTTTGAATTGATTTGAATTTTCTTGGTAAAAATATACGGCGTGTTTCGTAAGCACATGAGCAAAAGAGCACTGGGAACTTTGGTTCAAATGAACACCAAGTCACCTTATTGACTTAACACTAACTTTCAATAAGAAAAATTGTCCGGCTCCTTTGCTATTAACGGTCAAAGTTCTTTAAAGAATTACGTTTTCTGAAGGACCTGAAAGGTAAAAAAAGCAGAAGAGCCATACTTTTTTTAGGAAAAGTTAGGTCAGATCATCTTCGTTTGCTCCAAAGTTCCATACTTACGGGACACCCTGTTTCTGTCTGCAACATTTTTTCTCACACCAATAAAGACGGAAAAATTCTGATTTTTTAGGTGCACCCATGGCCACCCAGCACCAAACGCCGGGGGGCTATCGCGGCCAGTGGAGCAACGTAGGCGCTGGACATCAACACCCGGTGGCTGCAGCCATTGCAGCCCCTTATCAACCCTACCAACGTTACGCGGCAGCTCAGGCCCAACAGCCTGCTGCTCAACTTCCGCAGCAACAGCAACAGTCCATCTCCTACAGTACGGCTGCTGCCAACTACAACAATTCGAATTCGGTAAGTAATTTGCTCTCGATTTAGGTCTTCAAAATCTTACACTCTTGTTGAAACTAAAAGTAAGTTTGTAGTCGACTTGAGGCAAAAATGCGAAATTGGGATTTTTGGACAGACTTTCAATTGAAGTGAAAGACGCGTCGATAAGCAAAGTCTTTGTTTATGTCGAACATGTAGTTTTAGCTTCAACATGAGCTGCATATTTTGAAGATCGGCCCAAATGAAAAAATGTCACTGCAAGACCAAAAACCCTATAACAAGGGCGGATCCAGAGGGGGTCATGGGGGTCATTCAATTCTCTATCCAACGATGCCAAAACGAATTCTCTGGCTCGAATGGTTCTTGAGAAACTTCGAAAAAAACAGCGTCATGTTCAAGTGGATTTTGCATCTCAAAGAAAACCACGCAATTCTAAAACTTCTTGAATTCAATCATTTTTTAAGAAAACTGCCAACATTTCCCCATCCATGGTTCACTTTCTGAAAAGGGCATTTATTTCTCTCTAGAATGATGTACAAATGAGCGTTCTTGCTAATTTTGCCTCCGAGAAATGAGCAAAACCGGGACGGGAAACATGAAATTTTGGCATAATCTTGCACCTAAGTGTCTCATATTCAAATTTCGCTTTCTGTGTCAAAACTACTCGAATTTCCTCATTAACGTTGTTACGACTGAATGGACTTTTCAATTCTCTATCCAACGATGCCAAAACGAATTCTGTGGCTCGAATGGTTCTTGAGAAACCTCGAAAAAAGCAGCGTCATGTTCAAGAGGATTTTGCAACTGAAAAAAAACCACGCAAATCTAAAACTTCTTGAGTTTAAGCATTTTTTGAGAAAACTACCAACATTTTCGTATCCATGGTTCACTTTCTAAAAAGGCCATTTATTTCTCTCTAGAATGATGTACAAATGAGCGTTCTTGCTCATTTGTCTGATATTCAAATTTCGCTTTCTGGGTCAAAACTACTCGAATTTTCTCACTCACGTTGTTACGACTGAATCGAGTTTTCAATTCTCTATCCAACGATGCCAAAACCAATTCTGTGGCTCGAATGGTTCTTGAGAAACTTCGAAAAAATCAGCGTCATGTTCAAGTGGATTTTGCAACTTAAAAAAAAACCACGCAAATCTAAAACTTCTTGAATTCAAGCATTTTTGGAAAAAACTGCCAACATTTTCTTATCGATGGTTCACTTTCTAAAAAGCAAACAGAAAGAAAATCGCTAACCGCAATCAGAATTTATCCAGTTTCAAAGTTGGGGTAAATTTTACCGCGGTACGTAATCGTAAGAAAATGCGAAAAACCGTTACGCATATCCTTTGAATCGTTGATGATATTGAAAAAACGATTTTTGCGTTTTTTTCATTTTCTATAACTAAATGAGTTTTGCATCTAAAAAATTGTACTATAACGTTTTTGAAGGTCTGGGTACACTTTATGAGTGGTATAAATTTGAGCTTACAATATTCAAAACTTTTTGTTGATTCCTATTTGTTATGTAAAAAAGGTTTTTGCCAGATTGTAAGTTTTTTTGAGACGTCGGAGAGACTTTTCCAAGGGTCCATTTTACTCGTAAAGAGTTATACGCGAACGTACAATGAAGGAAAAGTTGATTTCAACAAACTTATTGGGAATCTGGCAAGAGCGTTTTCTTACAGAACAAATAGGAATGTAAAACAAAAAGGTATAGCATGATTTTTTAGAAGCAAACCGAAATTAATTAGGGAAAATTAAAAAAACGGCAATTTTTTTTGTTTTTTGAGTAAAAAATAAACGGATTTTAATTTAGTTTGTTTCATATTGTAGGTATTTTTAATACTTAAAAAGTATTAACTTGTTTTTAATAGCATCAACGGTTGAAAAGTTATGAGCAAAAAACTTTTTTTTCACCCGATTTTTCGCATTTTTTCTGAGCATTATCCACTACAATGTTCCACTGCCGAAAATCGCGCAAAAAGAAGAACCAGTGTTTCTCTGTAAAAGCAATGTGAACTGAGTGAATTGATTCTTGTTTGGTTCCAATGATTGACTAAAAAAAAGTGAATTGGCTAGAAGTGCGTTTTTTTTCACATAATTTTCAGACAGCATAATGGCTTCGACTCGTTTTAGAGTGTAAACTCGCTCTAACTCAAAACAAGTTTTAGTTATCTTCGCTGCAAAATATCGACAGAATTTTGGAAAACGCCCTGTGTACAATGAGAGGTTGTTTAAATCGATCGAAAGCAAAGTTTACTTCACTGGATCGTTCAACTTGATATATTTATAGATGATAATTTGGCAATATATTGATAACCGGAAACATTGAACGACCTTGTTCGAAAGTATTCTAAATTTACGATATCATTGAAATGCAGTTATTTTTATTGATCCTACGGATTGTTCTTGCGCCGCCCATATAAGCTTATATTTAGTGTATTGTGTGATGTAAAATCACCTTTCATCAGGTCATTAAGCCCGATCATTACAAATTTTTAACAAAAAAATAATTTCCTTGTTTATTAGCTCGAGCAGTTCTTCCACATCTTATTCAATCTAATTATTCGAGGATTTTGAAAAGAATTTAGCAGATTGACGAGTAAAAAGATAGTGATTTTTGCCTGCACACTATACGGTAATTGTAAATTTTAAACACAAAGTAGCATTCTGACGTCAATTGCAAATATTTTTATGTAGTAACTGTGCTTTGTTGAACCAGGTTAATTACTCGCTAACGGTAAAGTTACACAAAAAATTGCATTTTTTTAGTTTAAAATACGGGGCCTGTCAGACCAATTTCATGGAAAAAGATTGTGGTCCGATTTGCATTTAAGTAAGCTCGTAGTTTAGTGGTATCAGCCGCAATGATTATCGTCCTGATAAGTGAATAATCGAAATGTCTGTCTATTAAATTATTTGAGAAAGTCTCGTGAAACGGCTTTATTTTCTTCGTTGGTTTGATATTGCGGACTGATCGTCTATTATGTATCCAGAGTAAAAATAGAAAGAGGGAAATTTTTCTTGCACAATAAAAGTCGCGAATGACATTATTTATTAATACACACGAATATGCTTCATGGCGCGTCCTGGAAAGATAAAAAAAATTGATAATACTATAAGGTTTATTTTCTTATGGTGAGTAATGTCCGTTAATGTAATTGCTTAATGCTCATTTATTTATCTTATCAGAACGAGTAAATAAGGGATTCCCAAAGGGATTTAATGTACAGTGGGTATCCGAGGTTTGAAGTCTCTTTGGTGGTAGACGCGAATTTTAGATGAATAGTCTTTATGCGTTCGCACCAACGAGCAAATTCAAGTTTTTTGACCAATACCTTCACTTTTCTTATCAGCATGCTTTACAACACTAAAAATGAATTGTTTTCGATTCCCGTCGATGTAAACAGTTGACGTTCATCTGCGTTAGTTATTTATGGCAAATATATTTTTTAGTTGCGTTTTATGAAATTGGACAGTCACAATTAACATATTCCACTAATTGGAAAGTAAGTCATCCCTTGGTTTCTATTGGGCGTGGGTGATATCTTGTGATAATCGACCCCCAATTAGGGATAATGATTTTCCGAAAATTTCGATATATTTTGTGCAATCTTATCAGTCTGCTATCTTATCGCATTTTCCAGGTTTTGTTAAAAACACCTGCGATTGTGTTTGTAGTGTCTTTGTTCACTGCAGACTGCTCGGTTCAATATTTTTCCTCCTGGTCTCGATGCGTCCTTTTTTTCATTGTGTTTTGTTGTGTTATTGCGGTTGATTTGATCGGTATGTATTTATGGGGTATACTTTTTTCAGTCAAAGTTAGCAATTTGGTTAGTTGAAGACTTTTCGTAGTTAATTTTTTGTGCTGGAGCGGCTGTTGTGTGTTTATTTAGTTTTTGTTCAAGTGCTAAATCCCTTGATCGTCTAGTCGAGTGGAATATATTTAAATCAAAGTGCTTAATCATAATCAGGCTTAAGCAGTGGTTTTCTAGTTCATTGGAATGTATATTAATCTTTATTAACGTGTATTTAGGACAGGTGTATATCTTTAAAAAAATCTGGGTAAAAGACGCCTAAAAACGTGCTGGTGTCAAATAGTTTTGTCTTTATCTGTATCAGTTCGCACTTAATCCCCGTTGATTGGCCTCATTAATGATTTACATGTTTTTTATTATTCATTTTAAGAAAAAAGTTATTCTTTATAAAGAATTATTTGAAGACTAAAGCTCTTTTTAACAATATGAAAATTTTCCATTAGCTCAAATTGATCAGAATTGCAAATAATAAAAATGACGCAAACTTTCCCGCTTCAACAAACGGAGTTTCCCCTGCAAAATGGTACTTAAGGCAAATTTCCAGCTTCAAGGGTTTTCCAGGAAAGAACTTGCAAAAATTGCTTTAAAAATTGGTTCACTTTTTGGTACATTCCTGAAAACATCTCAAATATGAAACTTGCACGGCAAATTTTACGTGTTTTGAACGGATTAATTTATAGATGATTTTTTAAATTCTAGTACGCTAATCAGCGTGTTCCAACTGCAACTTCGCCATCAAACGCGAGCAGTTCCAGCAGTCACACAGGCGGAAGTCAATCCGGACAAGCCGCAGGTGGAAGTATGCTGAACAATTCGCAAAACATGCAACAGCCTCAGCAACAGGCCAATGCAGTCAACAATTCGGTATCCTCTAACGGATCGGCTCAGAGCCATGGATCAGAACAACTAAGCAAGACTAATCTCTATATTCGAGGATTAAACCCTGGGACGACTGATAAGGATCTGGTCAGCATGTGCCAACAGTAAGTATTAAATAGATGGAATTGGAACAAATTGCTCCTCAAAATCTTCACAACATACATAAGGTTCTCGAAGACCGAGTATTAAATTTTTATAATTCGTATGAAAATTTATAACATTTCCTGCAATCTCGATTGTTGATTGTTCAAACATCGAAAGGTTTAGTTCCTCCAAAGTTCCTAAAATAATCAGGCTTCTGTATATTGAATTATTACAAATGCGGGTTTCTTTTCAGATATGGCACAATTATATCTACCAAAGCTATTTTAGATAAGAATACTAACAAATGTAAAGGTAGGTACAGCTGGCAGTCTCGATGCACAATTCGAGTTGAACAGTGAGTTGATAATTGGCAACGATCTGAATTTTAGGATACGGTTTTGTTGACTTTGAGAATCCCGTTGCTGCCGAAGGAGCTGTTAAAGCCTTGACAGCGCGCAACATCCAGGCTCAAATGGCGAAAGTGGGTATTTGGTATCATCAGCGTAGACCTGCCACTGTACGTTTGCATGCAAGTAATACCTAGCTTTATTTCGAAACTTTGTCACAGTTTTTTCCGTTTGTTTTTACTTTCGGCAAATTTGTTTGCTCAAAAAAGAACCCTTAAATTGTTGGAAAGTTCACTCAAAGTGTGAAAATTATATTTGCAATAAAACTTCCGAATTATTGGATTTAATCAAATGAAAATGAACCTTGGAATGGAAATGGGCAAACTCCTGCTTTCATTTCCAGTTTCAAGTCATCCATTAGTTTCCAAAGGAGAAAAATGAACTCGAGCAATAAAATGTGTGTGAAAAACCACTAGGTTTCAATTGCAAAATAAACGAGCTCGCTATTTGGGATGTTAAATCGATATTGGATATAAAAATCAAAGAACCGAACTTTTGCACATTAACGCGCAAGCAATTTCTGGTTATCCCCGATAGTTGTAATTTTTTTCATAAAAAATGCCTATTCCTAATCTGTTTTAGCAGAGAACGGCGTTAACGGATTGTGCCAACTTAAAGTAAAAACCTAAATTAGTTGCGTTCTAGGTATCATTCTAGGGTTCAATTGACCACAGACAACTAGTGCTTTTCTTGTAATTTTTTTCTCCTGCTATCAGACTTCATCCTAACTGTGACATGGTTTAAAATAACAATTTGAAATTCAGCTCTAGTGTTTACCTATTAATTAGCCAGTGTATTATGGCAATATTCAAAACACTAGAATTGACTTTAGTTTGTATATTGTGTTTTCTCAAAATTGAAATGTAGATTAGACTGTGATCTGCTATGGCATAGGTGCATGATATTTTTAGTTGATTTTCAAAATTTTTGCAATAAATGAACAACGGTCGCTCTTTGAGCGTGCACTGGACTCAATTCGTACTCAAACGTCTGGCTAAAACATGCAAGCCACGTCAATGAACAGTGGGTTAGTTTTTCCGGAGTTTTGGTCAAGGGCTACTTTAATTATATCTTGGGATTCATGAGCCAAACTTCTAGTGTCTTTAGTATTAATACGAAGTGTTAGCAGATTAGTAAACAAAAGTAATCCTTTTAGAATATATTGTTATGTCCAGTACAGTTCATTTCGTTTTTGTTAATTCAAATTTTATTTAATTATCGCATCAAGTGACTAAATTTTATTTACTGAAAGTTGCGTTTTGTCAACCAAAACAGATTATATTAGTTTGTGTAACTTATTATTTTATCAACTGATTACTTATTCAAATATTCAAGTTTGACAAGTTTTCCGTATTAAAATTTGTTTCAACACGCTGTGACATACGATATATTATAAATCAGTATCCAATGGATGTAAGTTTTCATTTTTTAGTTAAACATTGATTTTTTTGTGGGTTTTTAGTTAAATCACAGCAAATGTCTGCCAACTTGAACAAAGGTTTTCATTTTCTTTTCCACTTCTGATCGATGGCGCGAAAGAAAATGGTAACCTTAGATGGAATGTAGCACGGCTTAAGTTTTTATTTTAATTTTATACCAAACTGGGCATAATAATACTAGTGTATATGGCTGTACAGTAACCTTCAAAAGCATTGCATGTTGTACAAAAAGTAAATAAAAATATTATATTGGTAATTATTATGCATTAATTTGTACAGACTTGATTGGATTGTGGCACTATCTGACTAACATGAAGTAATATTAATGTACTGAATAAAAGTGTGAAAAGCATTGGAAAATAATGGGGCTAAACAAAAAAACGATAAAAGTGGAGAAACTACAATTTCGAACAGGATAATCAAACAGTCAATGTGTTTAGAATTTCAGTTTTTCCACTTCACTGTGGCTCGGAGCAAAGTATTTTTCATATATTTTGTTTCAAGCTTTGTTGACACGCTTGTGCACAAATAACGTGAATTTTGATTGTGTTTTTCTATTATCAGCAACAGGAACAAGATCCCACTAATCTCTACATCGCTAATCTGCCCCCCAATTTCAAGGAATCTGATTTGGATTCGTTACTTTCCAAGTATGGCCAAGTTATATCAACTAGAATATTGCGCGATTCACAAGGTAGCATTCACAACAAAAAACCAGAGAATGTTGTACGTTTACGTATACTTCATTTTGCAGGAATCTCGAAGGGCGTAGGGTTTGCCCGCATGGAATCGAAAGATAAGTGCGAGCACATCATACAGATTTTCAATAATCACAATTTGCCAAATTGCAAGGATCCATTGTTGGTCAAATTTGCCGATGGCGGCAACAAGAAGAAGAACTTATACAATAAGGTAAAGAGTTTGAAGCTGTGAATTGTGATGTAAACATACGTTAAGTATGTGAATTATTTTCAGAGTAACGACAACTCAATGAAGTGGCGTGATGCGGCGGAAGGCATGGGCGCCATGGCTTACGCTCCAGAGGCTTTAGCCTCCAATGGTGTCGCTGGACAACATCCTATGATCTACAACTACAGACAACTTAGTCAGGTAAGGAACTTGGAGTTTTTGCGATTCAAAGAAATTTATGGCTTTTGTCTGGTTTCAGTTTACTGGCTACAGTCATCAATGGATGCCACAATACGTTATGCAAGGCCCGATTCAACCCGTGGATGAAGGCTACGGCCTCCAAGGCCATGTGCAGCCCCGCGATGGTCAAACTCCGCGCGGTATTCCCCTAATGGTTCCAACTGGGGAGACGCCCATGCAGTACGCGCTTCCACAGTTAACAGCCCAAATGAACGCTATTCAGCTTCAACCGGCAGGATCCTACATGCCAACCACGGTACGTTATACAAGCGCTTGTTTTCTTCGATCGTAGTTAGGCCCATTTTCATCAGAAACAAGCGAAACGCAGTTTGACAAAACTAAGTTTATGTAAACGCCGAAATTAAACGCGTTTAACGACGGACCGTTTTCACCAGCGTTTCGGTACGTTTCACAAACTGTGTTTATTGAAACGCAGTTTAAGAAACTGGAAACACTGGCATCGTTGCAAAAGTGAGAAATATTACGTTTCTCATCGCAAAATCATCTTATCAAGGAACCATTTGGCTCTATGACGTCACAGAACCCGTTATCAAACCCAAACTTTCTGCTCGAACTAACCGTAAAATTTTAAAGTTTGCTTTGTTTATGCACGGTTTGTGCATTCGTGTAATGCTTGTGACTGGTATACACGTTTTTATTAGATTTTCTATTTGAAAAATTACTTAAACAAGTAGAAAATTAAGTCCTGCGGACGCCCTTTCAGATCCTTAT